TTTAGATTGTTGAAGACTGCTGTAATATTTTCTCTATAGGCATCTTTTTTTATGGGCTAAACATACCAGTTTCCTCTTTTTCTTCAGAGGTTTCCAAATCTTGTCCTCTGATTATCTTCACTATCTTGCATTGTTTCAGTTTGTTCAAGAATGAAGTACACCTCAAAGATTTTTTTCTAGATTGACAAAACCCAGCTGGCAATGGCCAATTTTAAAAAGCTAAGGAGAATTGGATCTGGTTAGCATTTGGATGTGAGATAACAAGGAAAGCCCAGAAGTGCTGCTAAATTGGTGGGGAAATCCCAGAAGGTGGTAATGGTAACCCTTTCAATATTATTGCCAGGAAAACTACATGGATACATCCATGCATTCACCAGGAATTAAGCTCATCTTTGAAGATATCTTATAACTTTATCTTCATGAATATTGGCAGAAAAAGGCATTTGGCATATCAGCTGCCTCAATAGGCTCTTCACATATATATTACAATTTTGTGTCGGGTGCTATTGTTTGGCATTACGTAAAACATTATGAATATGAAACATTTCAAGTTCCAAACATTTTGTTTTAGTTTGAAAGAACTATTTAACATAAAGTGTAGTTCTAAATAAGGACTGTTTTGAGTGAAAATCACTAGAATAGTTGGGTAGTAATCAAATTATTTTGATAAAAGGAGGACAGCCTGTTTCAAATTTCTTCCTAATATATTAGTTTTTTTTTCAAGTAGTGGGATTTTCAACTGTTCAGACTAATAAAAAAAGTCAACCTCATTATCAATTTCCAATAGTTGTCTTTCTATTATCCAAGTTTATCTTATTTCCACAAAAGAACAAATAGAAAGAAAAAAAGCCATTTTTGTATGTTAAAAATATAGAAATATTATACAGTAAAAAGATATCTAAAAGAGTTTTAGTGCTTTTCGGTTATTCACTTAAAACATTCACAATTCCTCAAAAATCGATTAAATGCACTCAATATAAATAATTTTCTAAACATTAATTACATTTTGGTTCAAGGGTATTGGCATTATAAAGCAAAAGTTGCAGTAATATTTCTCTTAATATACTATCATATTATGGAAGAAGTTGAGAATGAATCTAAAGTTCCATTTATTTTATATACTGCAGTTGTATTTCTGATAGTAAGATATTCAAAACAGCACAAGCAAAGTACATATACTTGCATGTAAATTTACTTTACCATGCAATTACGTTCACCTGCATGTGATTTTTAAAAATATAACCATAAATATTGTGTGTATGCATCTTTTAACTGAGCCTTATGAGCCCTCAATAAAGCTTGAGGACATAATCTTCTTTTTAAAAACACATGTATATATTTACCTTCCAGGTTACCCTAATGCTTTGTGAAGATATGGGCTCAAGTTGAACATCCTGAGGTGGTCCATCAGGAGCTGGTAAAAAGACAGATATATGAATTAAAATTCTTAGTCTTTTCTTGTGCTCCATAAAACAACATACTATATCACGAAACATTCTCAATTTCTAGAATACTGATATACAAGAAAGAGCAGTTGCTAAACTGTTGCTGTGCAGAACAATAAAAGGGTAACAAAAACACGTGACTCAAATAGCTCCATCCTCATCCAAACATCCATGTTGCCATTTCTGCATCATCCTCCTGTCTGATATGCTGACAATGAGGAATGTTGAAAAAGAAATGGAATCCTTTTAAGGGTTTTCTCAATGTATTTTATTATCCTTATCTACACTTAGCCATTAAAGACATATCACAGCAACCTAAAATGCCCAGGAGGAACTAGGCAAAGTCAAATTTCTGACTATGTCATCAACCGCATCGCTGATGAAGAATGTTAAATCATAGCCACAGCAAAAGTTTCATTAGGAGAAGAGGAATAGCATTAGTTTCAAACAGCAAAAAGCATTTTTATGTTGTCTCTGGGGCAGGTTGAGGGTGATATGAAAGCAATGTCATGAGGACGTGTCATAAACAATGGGGCATATCTGTGCCACGGTTGGGGGAACATGAACTCTTAGAAACTAGAAGTATTGTGTAAGAAAGAGTAAGCTGGAATTAATGTGCACTCAGAGGGTAGAGAGACAAACTGATAAAAATGGCTGCAGTTCATTTCCAGGTCCAAATTTCTGATGTTAATTTTGATCTCAATACTAGAAAGAGATCAATGATCTACAGGCATAACCCTGTGATGACATGGGAAAACTATTTCATGAAATTCAATTGTTCTGGTTATACCAGAGTTATTAGTGATATGTAACCATACAGAATCTACAGTAAGGGAGGTAAGACTTAGTAATACTGTATTTAACTGTGAAACATTATCATTTGTCTATCCAGTTACAGGTAATTTGCCGTTCTCCGATTTCACTCTGTAAGAATGATTCCAAAATATTTAATCATCAAAGAAGAACTACTGTACATAAAAAGATAATCTTCTGTCATCAGTACCTATGGATCTAATATACAATATTTGAAAAGCATTTCTTTATAATGTTTAAAAGTCCTATATGGATTTCTTTTCAGGAGATCCAACCATGTAGTAATTCAAAGAAAACTGGTTATATAGCCCAAATTGATCTATATTTACCTGAAAATTGTGCTCCCTGGTTACAGTGTAACCATTTCCAAACTAGTGGTTATAGGATTTCAGTATTAATTTGAAAGTAACCAGCTAAGAAGTCAACCTGATACCCTCCAGGTGTATGGACCAATTGCTGAAAAATCTAGGAACTGAAATCCATACTTCTGGCAATCCCTATGGGGTGAGATGCTGACTTGGAAATGCAAAGGCTTGGATTCCAAGATAATTTACAGAAGTACTTAAAGGAAATTGTTAAACTTCCCTGAAACTGACATAAATAGACTTCTAAGGACACAAACTATGATAAGGAAATTTATTATAGATAACCTGTAAAGTCATCATCATGAAAGCATTCCAGTGACTGCTATGTGTTTATGGTGAAATCAAAGTTCAAAAATATTTATGTCTCTTTTTGTTGCTTATATATGGCAAGAAAAGCCATTTTTGGGAGGGAAGGGTGGAAGCGGCAGACAAGATCCAGTCTACTTTCAGGCTGTCTCTTGTGACCTTCGAAGAACATCGAACGTTTCTTATGCTCTTCTCCCCCCCACCCCCCCCCCCCCCCACAAATAAAACCACTCTGGGAAATAAGGGACTCCTGCAAATTCTTTGCAGGACAATTGTTCAAAATGGAAAATCACTCAGGTAACATAATTTATGAAGGGAATTTTATCTCATTACTCAGGAATAACCTTTGCAGAAGCTTTTTAAACTTTTTTGATGATAGGAAAGCAAGGATATATTTTTCCTCAAACTTGCTTAAAAGTACATCTCTCTAAACTCAAGCAAAATTTTTACTTCTGTTTTTTAAACTCATCATCCAGTAATGGAAAATAAACAATTCAAATTTCTTAGAACATAAACAACATTCCAGGTATGAAAGTAAGAACATTCTATGCTAATATTTTTTTTAAAAAAAAACCCTGTTTATGCATATCCTTTTATGCAGAATGTAATTCTGCTGCAAGTCTCTTACATTAAAACAAAACTTTTGTTTTATCCTGTTAGATGCCAAAGTTCAACATGTTTGGCAAAAAATTAATGAAAGGACGGTGTAGAATCCATAATTCTCTTCTTGCTGCAAGAATTCCTTTTATGTGCTACCTTTAAATAAAATATGCCAGTAGCCTGAAGTCACAATAGTATATGATACGGAAGTGCATCTCTGCCAGCAGTGCCCCTCCACCACACTCCCCTTTTTATTTTTTGTTTCATATTTCATGATGTTGCTTTTGCAAAGCCGTCATTATGTTATATGCCTCAGGCTTCTTTCAGATGCTTGAGAATCTATACCCATTTAACATGCTTGCAGTAAGTGTGGTGAACTAGAATAAACAAGGATAAATGGTGATGCTTCCATGTGTTCTGCATATATTCCCAGCTGATACCAAGGCAACAAATATTGTGACTCAGCTGAAAGCTTAGATTCCCTCCCTCCCCTATCCCTGTCTTTACTCTGAATATATCGACATGTTTGATTATGATTCCATATAACTGACCTTTAATTCAGCATGGAAAGCTTCAACTTCAGGTTGTACTTTATTAGTGGGAAAGTTAATCTCTGAATTAAGATGATTAGATTCTTCTGGAATATTAATTTTTAGTTAAATGAAAAACAGGAAGCATGACTAGTTGATTAAGCACATAAAAAGTCTACAGAATGTTCTGTAAGCAATGGGAAACACATATGTCTCACACTCAGGTTATCATCCTCTATTCTATTCTATTCTATTCTATTCTATTCTATTCTATTCTATTCTATTCTATTCTATTTCATTTAAAATTGAGGTAATTCTTGTATTATGAAGTGATACTAAAAGTAACAATATGTATTCAATCCTGTATTTCAGAAAGTTATATCTTCCTTGAAAGATACTTTGCATCTTATTTTTAAATATTTACAAGTCATAAAGAGTATGTGATGTATTCCTTGGTGGATTAGCAGGAGAATAAAGCAGTGGAAGCATATTTTTGTCCACTTTTTCATTGAGTTTTTCTCACAGATCTTTTGTTTCTACAGAAGCCTTTATCACTCCTGGAGCAATAGTTGTGGTTGTCTTCTTCAGAATGTTCTGTCTCCACTGCAATCATTGACTTGTTCCAGGTGATCTCAACTCTGAGACATATAAGTGCTCATGAGTTAGATCCAGTCTTCCCCTTGGAGCAAATTGCTAAGTGATTTGGATACAAAGAATGTTACCATTCTTCTGTTGCCATGGTCAGATCACATGGTCTGGTTGTGATTAATAGCCATATATTGTCTCAGATGGACTGCCCCAGGTACCTTATGGATCTAATTGGTTTCTGGCAGATATAGGAATTTCACTGACCATTCATTGGGTGACTGTGACAAGAGTCTGATTGGCTACTGATATGGTTTGTCACCCAGAGTCCCATTGTCTGAGTTGGCCATATATATATGGCCAACTCACACACCGTACACACACACACACACCGTATATGTTCTAAATAAATAATTAATAAATGGGAACTGTGGTCAGGTTCTCAGTGCAATGAGTCCTGAGCAGCCTCTTTCTCTCTCGGTTCATATTTGGAGGGCCCCTTGATTTTGGAGGAGTCCAGAAATCAAGTGACAGAATTGATATCACGAGTGCAGGTGGAGAACAACTGACTAATATGTGCCCAACTTTGGGCCAACTCCATGACAATCAGTGAGGCGAAGCATCCTTATTTTTTTCTCCTTTATTGCACTGGCAGATTGTTGTCCAGAAGCCTTGTTTCAGATGGCTAATTCCCTCTTGGGTAAGAGCCAGCCCCTCAAGTTTCCATCTGGCTGCTGTGATGAATTAACACAAAATGTTGCTGGTAAAAATACATCTTAAAATAGCACAGCTGATAAATCACAGACTACGGAGTATGGGGATGTGATGAAGTACAAAAGAGGGACTGGTAATGAATGAGATCTGTCCTCAATTAGTGTTGCAAGGAAATGACAGTATGTGGCCATGGCTGGCAGCTGCAGTAGATGAAATGACATAGGAGTAGGTATAATGGTGCCAGGCTCCAAGTAATCAGTAAAAAGTGCAGACAGGAAAATCCTCTATATCAGAAGAACTAGAAAACGTGCAATGCCCTAATTGTTGATAGAGCCAAAAAAACAAACTTGGCATATCTCAGCTCACTTTCCCAGTTTATATTATTCCTCTCAAGAGAGAGAGAGAATCCTGTTTTGTAAACATACATCTAGTGCTTTTTCAAAAGAGTGCTAAGTACGTTTAGATAAGGATGCTGGGCAATGCTTGACTGGTGCTTTCCAACGTGTCAATCAGCATCGTGCAGGCGGCATCGTGCAGGCAAAACCAGATGTATGGATTCTCCTGCATCTCAAATTAAGATGGCCATAAACAGTAGCCCAGCCATTAAAGGACATGTCACAGCAGCCTAAAGTGCCCAGAAGGAACTAGGCAAAGCCAAATCTCTGACTATGTCATCAACCACATCACTGATGAAGAATGTTAGATTGCAAAGGTTTTGTTAGAGGAAGAAGAATAACATTAATTTTAAACAGCAAAAAGCATTTTTATGTTGTCTCTGGGGCAGGTTCAGGGTGATATGAAAGCAATGTTATGAAGACGTGTCATAAACAATGGGGCATATCTGTGCCACAGTTGGGGGAACATGAACTCTTGGAAACTAGAAGTATTGGGTAAGAAAGAGTAAGCTGGAATTAATACACACTCAGAGAGTACGAGAGACAAACTAATAAAAATGGCTGCAGTTCATTTCCAGGTCCAAATTCTTGATGTTAATTTTGATCTCAACACTAGAGAGAGATCAATGATCTACAATAGCTCAGTCTAAGACAGTTTGCAATGTTACTGAACGAAATTCCACTTCTCATCTACTTGACTTTTTTATATGCAATAGAGGTTGGCTTGAATCTTACCCTATTCAAATACAACAATAATGCTTCATAATATCTTTTTATACTAAGATAACTGTATCTTAAAACAATGGGAAATGACATACATTTTAAAAACAAATGTCAGCTGACCCCACACTTTTCTTAAAAAGAAAAAAAGCAACATTTGCTGGGGCCATGGGAAAGTTCAAAGGGGGTGATGCAATTTGAAATGGATTCTACAAAATCATCTCTTAGAATCAAAATGTCAAACGGAATCATTCAAAGGCCCCAAATGAAATTAAATATTTCATCTGATTCAGAGTGATTCAATTGCAATTTGGAAATGTGATAGATTTTTCTAATTAACATTAATTAATTTTATATGGCTAACCATCTTGATAAGACTTTTAAAAACCTTGTTTGCTCTTTTTTATACTTCTTGCCTTTTTTTTCTTATCTATCCTCTTTTATCCATATTATTCCCTAAATCTCAACTTGTTGGTCTGACATGTAGTTATTACCTCTGTTAATTGCTATGTTCTGCTGTGCAGCATTCTTTAGCTCTTTCAACCTCTCCTATTTTTCCTTTTTCTCACTACCACCAATATTTTCTTCCTATTATTTATCTATCTATTTTGTTTGGACTAAGTATTTCATCTTTGTTGTGTAAGTTTATCTGAGAGAATATATTTGCTGTTAGATTGCTGTAATCCAAAACATTTCTTTAAATTGCTATGTATTACATTACAATAGTGATGACATACATAGTTCTGATTTTTTTAAAATGCTTCATAAATAGCATGTTGTGAACTTGTAATTGTTGCCATAATGCATCATGTATAGAATTCCTTGACATATTTGGCATGTTAAAAATATCCAAACTTTGTTCATCCAGTAATAAATGTAGCACTAACTTTTAATAACTATGTAAAAAGTACCTGCTTCATCTGTGGTGATAGTAAGTTCATTGCTGGCTTCACTTTTGCCAATCCGATTTTTTGCATACATGCGGATGTTGTAGGTGGAAGAAGCATGTAGGTCAATGATCGTGGCTTGATTCAGCTGTGGGGAAACATCTTTGGTTCTTTGGACAGAATCCCAGGAGTCTATTTAAAGAAATTGTGAGAAATATAGTAATTTTTCTTCCATTTATGACTTCCTTTGTTTAAAATATTGAACTATGTAACAAGTCAACCATTTCAAGGACAAAATAAAACACTGGTAAAAATTTCGCTATATTTACTCTTACAGTAGTTAGATAAAACTTTGATCAGATCAGTATTTACACACATATGCTCTTTAACATATATATTCCCTCAAAGTGCTAAGAGAAAATAAACAGGAAAGGTATTAAAGGAAAAGCTTATAACAAATGTTTGTTGGGGACTCTATTTTTATGCACTACAGTTCTCTTTGGTGTAAATTATTTTGAACAAATAGACAAGTTCATGCAATACACCAGCCATTCACAACTTGATGACTTCCAACTTTCTAGTTGGTTGGATAGCGATTGCAACAGTTGTCCCTAATAACTAAAAAGGATGGGTTAGTGAAGTGCAGGTGTCTACTTGTCAGTCAGAACAGACTGGAGTCTCAACTACTCCTCTATCTAGTCAATACTCAGGATTAACAGTAACAAAAAAACAGTGTCTAAAAAAAATGGTAAACCACTTTCTATGAACCATCATTCTTTTTTAGAATTCAAAGTTCCAAAATACTTGATCATTTGATTAGAAGGGCATATGAAATCTAGAAAATTGGATGTCGATGGCATCAAATTCTTGTGCTGACTCTAATTGAGCAGGAAAGGGGAAAAAAGTGTCTAAGAAGGGAAGGAGACTGATCAACTTCATAGCAGCACTAGAATGAAACCCCAAGATTATATCGTTATTTTCTCAAGCTTGTACAAATCTCCTTCTCTGCTTCAGGGTAAGCATAAAATGAACAGAATCCAGCAGATGTGAAGACTGAGCACCAAAGGGTTGTGAATAGTTGCTTGAGGAATCAGCAGCTGTACAGAAATGAAAGCAGGAGCGTCTGAATAGTAATATTCACACATAACTTGTTCGGCAGCTTGTCCTAATCAATATCTTCTGTCAAGTTCTCTCTTGTTTTCATGAGCCTCTGCATGTGAAGATTCTATAGAATTTTCTATAGTGTTTGCCCTTAACTACTGCAGTGATAAAGAAGAATTAATAGATTTAGTCTATGGCATCTACACCAGAGTGAATGGGCAGCTCTTCAGTAGGTATCTTCAGAATCTAGTTATTGTCTACATACAATTAATAGCAGACCACAACTAATAGTTAGAGATAATACACATTGTGCTAAAAACCTTCATATCTGGTAAGGCATTTCATTATCTACAGTCTTTTATATATTATTGAAACTCTTGTTTTTGACTCGGCAAAATGATGTATTACAGGATAATATTTTTTGGTCAAGGTGCCTCAGATAGACTAACTTAGAGAATGTGTCTGAATCCAGGAGCCATGACTCCCATGGAATTGAAATTTGGAAAAACTGATAAACATTTTATAACATTACAATTATCATAAAACAATTTATGACATAATACAAAATGTTACAAAACATATCCTGTGCTGATGTTTGACTGTGCTATGTAGCTCACCATGGGCTATTTTCAAGGCAGATAAACCTCTGAATGTATCTCAACTTTTCCAGTGAAGGGAATACACTGTAACTGCCATTGTTGAAGGCATTGAGGAACCATAAAGAAATGTCTTTGAAAAGATGACCCAGGGGTCACGGATTGTCCAGTTACATTAAAAGTTATGTTAAGTTTGTTCTCCAGTTCATATCACTGGAGAATTTTAAGAAGAGATTGGACAGCCATTTGTCTGAAATGGTACAGGGTCTCCTGCCTGAGCAGGGTTTGGACTAGAAGACCCTTCCAACTCTGTTATTCTGTTAAAAATTTGTCCTTCATGTTTTATCAGAGTAAATAAAAGCGCTTTGATATTAGTACTTTTCAAATTTGAATCACCCCAAAATACTCAATGAAATGCAGCAATCTGATACAATGTAACTAACCTAATGGAACAGATAAACTCAAAGACCTATGTCTCAGTTTGGCAGACAAAATTATGTTCAGCTCTAAGAGAACTTAATGGGATTGCGGTGGAAGCAATATGTGATGAACAAGAAACTATAGTCCTCCAGATAATTCAGTGTAAAATGTGTATCTACTATGTGGACAACACTTTTGTAATAGTAGTAGTAGTAGTAGTAGTAGTAGTAGTAGTAGTAGTAGTAGTAGTAATAAAAAACACAGGTAAATGGAATCAAATCCCCCAAAATAAAAGAACAAACTGTCCCTTCTAAACTTCATTAGTTGAAAATAAAATGGCATACTTCAAACACAAGTCCAGCATAAAGTAATTCACACAAACCAGTTTCTCAATTACAACAATACAACCCAACACCAAACAAAAGATGCATAATACTTTGACTAAGCAGCAAATCAACAGAATATAGATTTAATTTTCCTTTGCACTTATAAAACATACAATTAAGGACCTGATGGATGTATCTCAGTTCAACATACAACACTCTCCTCTATCACACAGCAATCAAAGAACACCTAGATAAATTACAACCATTTTCTTATTAACTTCCTAACCAAAACCCAACCAGTTCAGTAGTCACAGCAAAGGACAGTGCACTCCCAATAAGCCATTCCTCCACACAGCTATCAACACCATCAATCACATAGAAAGCAACCATCACATAGAGCAGGCATGTCAAACTTGCGATGTCACGTGACGTCACGCAACATATCGGGCCGGTTTTGCCATTGCCGACAATGGGGTGGGCGCAGCTTCCATGTGATGCGTCCGGCCCATGGGCCGGCAGTTTGACACCCCTGACATAGAGATTAGACATAGAGATTAGAATAGTTAACAACCAAATAAATAATTTACCACTAAGAAGACATCAATCATTTGCAAAATAACATCCGCTCCATAGAACCGTTCCATCCAAGCACACATAAAGCAGGCAAAATACAAGAATATATTATTCCAGGAAACCCAGCTTGTGCATCAATTGTGTTGCCTAATAAAATAATGAAATATTTACAACCCAAAACCAATTTTGGAGAACTCCAATGATATATAATAAGGAAAAATAGGTAAGAGAAAATATGAAACATGAAACTAAAGAAATGGCATTTTTCTATTAAAAAAAAAACCACCAGCAGCAATCTTCAGATCACCAACACGTGATCTTTAAAAGAAGCTGGAAAGAACTGAAAAGAAAAGTGAGTTATGCTTCACTTGGTTCTGAAGACCCAAGCTTATGAATAGGTATTATTATATATATTTTTAAACAGTATTTTATATCTTAAGGCGTTCATATGCTAAATTCTTTGCTGATTCTTTGTATTAACTATAGGAAACTAATTTGTTTCTCAGATCATTTCCTTAATCCTTCCTCAAAATATATTTGGCAACATTCTTTTCCATGCCTTTTGTTAAATGAATGATGTACATCGTACCAATCTGACATACCTAGGGATGTATAAAGTTAAGGAATGAATTCATGCCTGGGGATTCTAGTTGGATATTTCAAAGGACACATGTTCAAAGCTATTTATCTACAACTTCACACATATTCTAATGAGAGATAGATACCGTTTGGAATGAGGGAAGCAAGCATAAAAGTTGGCGTTGTAGTGGTTAAGGTGCTGGCGTAGAAACTAGGAGACTTGAGTTCAAGGCCTCTCTTAGGCATGAAATTTGGCTGGGTAATTTTGAGCCAGACATTCTTTTCCAGACTGTTTTTTACAGCATAAAAACAAATACTCCCCCAAAAGTACCATATAACATTAGGCATATACAATATATAAATATGAAATACAAATATAAAATGCCAAACAAACAATGTAGTAGAACAAACAAAATTGGCTTCTAAGGCCTGGGAGAAGAACCGGGTCTTAATGGCTTTCCTAAGGATAAATAGCTTGCCATATATTGGGAGGCAGCTTGTTCCAGAAAACAGGAGCAACCACAGAAAAGGCACCCCTTCTAGAGCCCCTAAGTCTAATATAATAAGATTTTAAAGAAGCAGGCTCTCTCTGTGGAAGTGTGAAAAACAGGCAGATATTCTTGGAAGCAGGAAGTCATTCAAGTAACCTGGTCCTATGCCATATAGGGCTTTAAAGATGATAACTAGAACCTTGAATTGTACATGCAAGCCTACTGGAAACCAGTGCAGCTCATGGAATTTGTTGTTATATGGGCATAGTTAGATACATCCCATAATTATATGCACTGCTGTATTCTAAATTAACTGAAGCTTTCAAAAGGTTTTCAAAGGCAGACCAGGAAGAGTGCATTGCAACATTCTTACCAGGAGCTGACCAAGGTATGCATGACCATGAGAAGGGTCTCCCAATCCAGATGTTGGTCCTCCCAGGCAAACCAGATAGGAAACATGACTTGATAATCTAATCCTACTTTATTTTAAGGCTTCATTAATAGTATTTTGCAGGCTTGAAGATACAAACATCCCATCACCACTTTTAACTCCTTGATCAATTAGGGTGAGTCCCTTCCTAAGTTTCTTTCTTTGATTGTTTAAATCAGTGGGGCTCCTCCCTCACTTGTCTGATTGTTTCATGAGCAATATCTCTACCTCCTCCCCCAAGGTCATCCACACATTCCATTATACTAAGGATGAGTGCAACTAGTGCACACAGCACATTGCCACAGCTATCAGCTGCTTTTTAGGTAGGACCTGTGAGTCCAGGAGAACCCTCAGACTGTGCAACAAGTCTGAACTAAAGATAGAATTCCTCCAATTCCCAAATCTTGTTCTCAACTTGTTCTTCCCCATCAAACAGTCCAGCTTGCAGACATTTCATATTAAACACAATTAGCTGATTGCTTATGTAGCTAAAATGGCACCACTGACATATAAGATATAGCTCAGAGAAACAAGGTTTGTAAAACTAAAATCATCATCATCATCAACAACATCATTCTGACCATCTTTAGAGAAAATTAAAATTAAGGAGGAATGAAAGGAAACATCTTCCAAAAGTTTTAGTTTTCAATAGTTTGAAGAAAATTGGGCAAAATATTTTAAAGGTTAAGTTGATATTTTCCATTTCTGTCAACCTTTCAATCATTCTATCCTCTGCAGAAACTATTAGGTTCCCTCAGTGCTCTTGGGAATAAAAATATGCCTTGTGTTTCCCAAATGCAAATATGACAACCTTCCTGAAGAAGAGTCACTGGCATGAATCCAGCACCACAGCAGCATAGAGAAAGCAGGGTAAGGCAGTGCCACCAAGCTCACTTTTATCATGGATGATGTTAGGGCAAATGATATTTTATTTTGGCTTTGCTGACTTTTGAGGAGGTCACTAGGAAATAAGTGTCTGACAGGGAATAAACTGCCTTTTTATGTTTAAGAGCCAGGGTGGCGCAGTGGTTAGAATGCAGTATTGCAGGATAATTCTGCTGACTGTCGACTGCCAACAGTTCAAGTCTCACTGGCTCAAGGTTGACTCAGCCTTCCATCCTTCCGAGATCAGTAAAATGAGGACCTAGATTTTTGGGAGCAATATGGTAACTCTGTAAACCACTTAAAGGGGGCTGTAAAGCATTGTGAAGTGGTATATAAGTCAAAGTGCTATTGCTATTGCTATTCTCTAATAATGCTTTCTGCTCAGACATCTTTATTAATGAAGACAATAGTTCTTCAGTCTTCAAGCTGTAATTGAAACCATTCTGCATAAAAGGTTAAATCTATGGGGAGGGCAGAGCAAAATAAGTAAACTCAGACATTTATTCTTAATTTTACAGAGTTCATCAGCTAAGATAAAAATGGACTCCTTGTAGTTGAGAAAAAAAACTACACATTATTCCATATTTGGCACATTTCATTAAAGTCCTTGATCAAGCTCATGGAGCAAAAGCAAGATCATCATCATCAAATCATCGTCCGTCCATCCATCCATCCATCCATCCATCCATCCATCCATCCATCCATTTTAACAGTAAACCAGGAAATATTACAAAGCTGTAAAACAGAATTCATAGAATATCTTACCAGACTTGTTTTTGCATTCTATATCATAGCCTGTGATTGGACTATTTCCATCGAATCCCATGGTCCATCTTAGGGCAATGCTACGTGCTCTCACTTCTCGAATTTCTATTTCTGGAGGATCTGGGGGTTCTAGACAAACAGACAAACTCTGCTTTAATTAAGAGAAAGAATATTTTGTGAATCAGCTACAGCAGTTACAATGACATGAAAACAAATGCTACAGCAACACTAAACTACTTTACCATTTTCCTCACTCACTGAATTTTATATTCATTTGTCTCTTTCCATAAATTCAGAAATATACTTTTCTCATTATCTTATTTAGAAATCTAATATGTATAAAGTTGTTATACTAAATCTTCTGCCAACTCCCTCCCCAGATCTGCTATTGCCTACAAAATTCATATGTCAATTTTCTGTACTGTAAATTTAAGTAAATTAAGATGGCAGTACTATTAAAACTGAATCTCTCTACCGCTACATGTCTTATTATGTATGTGTTAGTGCAACACAATCAACTGGGAAAAAGAGACAGTCATTTAAGTGTTAAATTCTGGCAGGTAGAAGCAAGATGGTAGAAGATAGCTTAAGGAGATACACAGGTATCTATTATGTCCTCTTAAGCTATCATGCCATTCCCAGAACCTACCAATTCCTATCTGATGATGATTCCTTTCTTAGTGAGAAATATAGTTAGGGAAATCTGATTTAGGTACATGCTGACTATTTGGATTCAGAATATAAAAATGCACTGCACTTGCCAGATGTTTTTGATGTACTTTATTTAAAGCATACTGTCTTTAAAAAAAATTGCACTATTTTTTCTTCATAATTGAAATCAGACAGTTTTTATTTACGTTACTGCAAGTCTAACATTATCTAATTAAGATCACCAGCAAGCCTAAAATTACCTAATTAAGATCACCAGCACACTTCTATGAATATTAGAAACAAGCAAGTCCTACTGACTTCAGCTGAGTTTATTCTTTATCGTATAGCCTGAATCTCATTATGTCAACAGTGTTATTATTGAATAGTAATCTAGTTTGTGGTTTAATTATAAATAGTAGTATATGATATCAGACTATGAGACCAGCTGTAGGGAAACTGCTGTAAAACACTTACTTAGAATCACATTCATAGGGCACTTAATTCATGAATGTGTTGCTACATGAACGAATAGTACCCTAATAAGAAAATGTTTCATTCATAAAATCTGACATAGGGATGATGAGCTCCTTTAAATGTGATAGCTGGTGGAGCCCCAGTGTAAGTAAGGACTTTTAGTTTGTTTTATGTTAATGTTATGTTTAAATCCTCCTAATCTTTCTTATTATATCAGATTTGCAGATTTAAGCCAATTCCATCCATAATCAATGTATTTCATGGGTAGCTGTACAGTTCAGGTTTAATAGTTCCAGTGGTAAGTGGAATCTGAACCTCTTACAATTTCCAATAAATATATTGAATTATGACTAATCCCCCCAACAGTTTTCTGAGCATGACATACACTTACTGTACTACAATAGCTGTGTTTTTTTTCCTTATGTTGTCCTCTTCCTACCTTGCACAGTGAGCTGAATTATTCCACGATCCTCTCCATATGAATTGATGGCATGGCAGGAGAAGAAACCAGAATCTTCTCGCACTGTTGGCAAAATCTATATTATAGATTGAAAAGAAGAAAATACATTCAATAAGAAACATTGAAATTTAGCCTATTCTCCACTGCAATATTTGATAATGTTCAGAAAGTTTTTATGGTCAGTAAACCACATTGCAGCTACATCAGTTTTGCTGCAATGCAAAGTCCCATATCCAAGAAGTTAAGTTTAATTACAGCAAACTATAACAGCTACTGAAATAGAAATTATTTTTATGTACATATTTTATATAGGTTATATTTTACATATAACCTGTTTTTCCTTCATACAGTCCAAAATGACTGAGTTACAATTCCCAGATTCTATTCAAGCAACTTGCAGAACCTGTATTTCTTAGCTGTCATGGTAAGTAGAACAACATCATGTCAATATGATTCCATATAATTATTTCTTCTTTTTTTCTTGTTAGAAAAGCCAGTTCTGTTTTACAGTAATAATACAACATGAAAGGATAAGTTCATTCTGATTTTTGTCTAGCAAGTCTTTTCCAGTGAGTTTCTATTTTAAATTTACAATTTGTCAACAGATCATTGGTGAATATTAGAGCAAATATAAAATTATATATAAAAAAGCAGTTGTATCCACTTGAGAAGCTCTGAAGTATTTCTTTAAATCCAGAATGGGTTTTGTAACTCTCACAGGTTTGTGTGTATTCTGCAGATATTATTTCTGGATGATGAATAAGACTTAATTCATGCACAATTTAATTCATGCACAGATTTAATTCATGCACAAAATTTGATTAAGTCCAGTTTCTTGCCTGCATAAGAAGCATTTACATTTGGATTGGGGGGGGGGTGGTGGTTTCAAAACGAACACACATCTGTTGTATTTTAGCATGCATTTCTTCTTAAGAAATATACAATATGTCAGAAGAATTATAGTAGTCTTTCTTGTAAAGGATTAGACTTATTCTTTGTGGGGGACATGAGTGGAAGACTTATTTCTCCTTTTTGTCATTTATTTGCTAAGGCAAGAAGTCTCAAAGAGCTCTGAAACTAGCTGCAGGTGCTAGGGAGGTAGGAATCCAAAATTTTCCCACTTTTTTGTGTATGTTATCACCTAATAATAAAGTCACAAAAATACATTAGGGCCTGGATGGTTTTAAAATGAGGAATATGTAGGGTAGAGAAGGACTTTAACGTCTAGTATTTTCCAAGCCAGAACCAGTGCTTTACAATTCTAATTCCAGAGTGTCCACCAAAACATTTTAAATTTATCTCCTCAAAGATAGCAAAGAGCACTGAACTATCTTAATCTTTCAAGTGTATCACAATTCTTCCTCCAGTCATTAACAGTATCCCTACTCTTCCTTCCTTCTCCTCCTCATTCTGCAGTTTCTTATGTATCTTAAACAAATTCTGCAGTTTCCTATGTGTTTTAGACATTGTCTAAGGTCCTTTGGGATTGAATCACTTAATAAATCTTTAGTATGGAAGAAAGGTGTACATAAGGAGAAACTGACACATTTTTACACACACAAGGGGCTTTTGTGGCATCACAAATCATTAACAAAGCTTCTGTAGGGCTCAGATTCTGAACTGGGCTGCTTCAGATAACTACTTAGGATTCATCTTAATGTAATACAGGATTTATCCACATCCAATGCATATCCCCACTAATACAAGGCCGAATCATGAAACTGAAAGTTGATTTCATAGGCTTGATAAATCATGTGACACATATTTTGTAGAACTTGAATTGGCTCTGCACCTTTTGCTTCCTAGTGTAGTCTAATTGTGCTATCCTGAAGGGTAGGAAGGAGGAAGGTTATGAGACTATTTTTTCTGCAGATCTGATGAACTATAGAGTTGTGCAAAATGATTCAAGCTGAAACCATTTGGAGCTTGAAATGTCTACTCTGTCAGGGTTATTAACTGACTGAAAGTATTGCAATGCTGTTCCAACTGAGGAGAGTGTTCCATGACTGTTTTGGATTCAAAGTCCACTTTGTGTAAAGCCAGAGCAATGTCGGAATTTTAATATTGTAATTTTGAGTTCAAAATGTTAATACATATATATGGTGAATTCTCATCTAAGGAGAGATGAAGACAGAATTGGAATTTCTGCTTGTTGGCAATGTAAGAGAAGGAAAATGGGAGTAGCGGGTCTCTGTGGAAGAGAATCTTCTTCACCTGTTCTGGTAATCTGGAAAAAATCATGTGTTCTTATGAAGAACATATGTAAGACAAGCCTGAAAGAACGGATGGCATGATTCTGAATTTTCTAGGAAAATAAAGTCTTTGATTCCATCTTGATTGGGGATAGTTGTAGTCCAATCTATGTGAACAGCATCAGAACTAGAAAGTCTTCTGAAATATTACTGTCTTTAATGAAAACAGGAACTAATCCAAACTAAAGGATAGTATGGGGAATTGTCAGGAGATATAAATGAACATAACCTGTTTTATGCAAGTCATAGTGAAGCTCTGTGGCTGAACAGCACAGCAGAAAATCAAATCTCTCCATAGGTTCTAGCCTGTTTTTATTCTTGGACAAAATTGCTGCCCATATTGCAAATGCAAATACCAACTTGATCTTATCACCTGTAAAGTAGAGATGACTTCATCACCCACTTCTTTTGTAGAAACAAAATAGCGGGACATTTCAGGATTAATTATTCTATCTTCTTTCTCCCAGCGGACTATGATGGGTTTTTCCCCATGAGCTGTGCAACTCATCTCTTTCTTTTGACCCTGTGTTGCCAAGGTGGTATTTGGATAGGAGGTTATCATAGCAGGAACTAAAAATAAAAATAATACACATTACTAGGTTGGATACAAATGTGCAACAGAAAAAAGGAATACAATGTTGGACAGGATGTCTCAATAGTTACTTATATCTAACTATATCAAATATGTTATCCTTTCATCTTAAAACATCACTGGCCTTGTGCCCTCCGGATATGTTAGGATTACATTTATGGAACATGAGAGACAAAGTGGGATATTGATTAAAGTGTTGGATTAGGAGTGGAGAGATATAGGTCCCAGTCAATGATCAGGCACAACATCTCACTGGATAACTTTGAGTCCTTCACAACTTACCTCAAGGGAATGGTAGGGGAAATTAGAAGAAGGTAATGCTATGTACTGTATCTTAACTTGAGCTCCTGAAGAAAAGGCAGGATATTAAATACTGTTGAAAACTAGAGTCACAACTCATTTGAAGATCACAAGCACAGGGCTGTTTTAGGCACATTTAAGGAATTCAACACACCCACTTAGTTATAGAGTGGATCACCTCTTTCAAATGATTTTCTCTAATTGCTGTTTTAAAATGCTAATATTTGGTGACATAACCTTTATGCATGCTAGCGCTATTGAAGCCTGTGTATGACAACATGTCAGAACATAATGCTTCCTATTGGAATGATTTCTGAAGTGTAACAAACTGATTTTCAAGCCAGCAAAGTGAAAGCCAGGGCTCTCATCTGGATATCATAGCACAAACAAACAAACTTGAAAAGATTTTCAGTGAAAAATAAAATGCTTGAATAGCATTGTTAACAGCAATTTGGAATACCTTTATTCTGCCATGCTGCCATAAAATAAATGGCTTTATTTTATTAAAATTAAAAAAACCTGAATTTATTTACAATGAAAAGTTAATAGAGAATAGATTTATTACTATATTTATTAGTGTTATAAATTCTGCTTGAAGCTGGACACAATTAAGTAACTTCAATTTGGGATCACTTGTAGTGCCTTTATGGACATGATCTTCCCTTCAGCTTCCATCAAAGTTGAAAGCATAATCTTGGCAAACATAACGTAGCTACACATAACTCTAAGCATAATGCAGCACTGAAGATTTCCATGGTATAGCTATGTATACACAAATGGATCCGCATTTGACTACCTCACCCCTGAACAAGTGTTCAGGGGCCCTAATTTATAGATCTTGTACTTCTGTGCATCGCTACAAACAAGCTATGGGTGCTCAAGTGCATGAAAAAGTAATGGTATAATAACGAGGAGCTTAACAACCCTCTTCCCTTATAAGTATTGCTCTGTTTGGAGTACAATGAAGCTCTGGAGAAAACAAAAGTAAAGTTGGACAGGCTCTGCTGATTCTCAAATTTGAATATTGTCAGTTTGACTCATTTCTGCTTCCTCCCACTTTTCGGAACATCATCCCGCATGCACAGTTATCATTGTCTGCTTTTCAGATTTTGTTCTAAATGAAATTCTGGAAGGTATTTTAAATAATTGACATTATTTTTCATATAATTTTCTTTTGAATGTGATCTTCTACGTGTTGAGCAACACAAATTGCAATGCTGAATTATCTTTGACTTTCCCTCATTTAAAATAAGGCAATCACCAAGGCATAAAAGTTTCCTTATAGTATACAAATGTTTTAAAAAGGACACATTCCTCTTCAGAGGCAGTTTTTTAACACCCAGATAACATAACCAGAAATTATTTCTCATTTTGATTGCTACAAATGAAGCAACTGAAGGTCTTGTTTAAAGCAGGGGTCCCCAACCCCCGGTCCGTGGACCAGTACTGGTCCGCGGCATGCCAACAACCAGTCCGCACAAACAAGGAAAGCCCCACCCACAGGATGCAGGCAGCACACAAAACCATGCCCCCTCTGGTCCATGGAAAAACCTCTCTCCACATAACCAGTCCCTGGTGCCCAAAAGGTTGGGGACCTCTCGTTTAAAGGATCTGTAGACTTACCCAATTTAACACCTCCTGGATAACATGGATTGAAACTCCTGGGGTTCATACCCATTATAAGAATGCCATAATATCATTTGGAAAGTCTAGGAGCTGTAGTCTCAACATAACTGGAGGTCAACAGATTCAGAATTAATCTATCAAAGGATATTTATACGCTTTGTGTGTCTTTCCTTGATGTGAAGTTTTAAGCAAATTACTCTGTTTGTGTTAAAAATCAATAGATTGGTGGAACTGTGCTCTACATGTTGACAATTTCACTTCCCTAATACCAAAATTAGTTAAGAATAATGAAATATGCTCTTTTTTTCGCCATTATGGAAGTGAATGAGGGAGTTGCTTGGGACATTATCCTTCCAAAAAGGATATGAATGTTCTCAAATCATAGAATGCAGATTATTTCCACTATTCAAAATCCAAAAAAACAGAGTTCTAGGATACACTAATATGGGATCACCAGATATCAGAATCAGAACCAGGTAGGGCAAGATTGGCCAAACTATATACCTGGAAAGAAGTTTTTGTTTTGTTTTGTTTTGTTTTGCTGGAGGAGTCATACCATTTTTTGTGGCAAAAAATAAACACATATCAAATATAATTTTTCACTCTTCAATTGTTGCAACATTTAAAAGCTATGGACTTCATAGCTTTTTATTAATTAACTAAATATCGAAAAATAGAACACTGAATAATGTGGTCACACTCATATGCCATAATGAAAAAGCATTATAGTAATTTTACTGCTTTTTCAAATAAACATGAATAGCCATTTCTACATGTCAAGCAAAAATCAATCAAAGTTTATGAGAATGCTCTTTTAAGGCAAAAGGATGGAAAATTCAATTAATTAATCTACTTATAATTCATCCAGTTGTAATAGCTCTTCATTTTCAATGTCAACAGTAAATGATTTCTTAAATCTCATTTTACTGCCATCAATTGGAAGAAAATACTCATTTAAGCTTATTCTTTGATTTCTGCAGAAATCAAATCAGAGATATGCAATTCACTTAAAGTACAAAAAGACACAGTTCTCTGTATCCAATCAAACTGATGAAAGGAGTATTTAAATTCATACTAATGGTTCAATAAAACATATTTTATTTCAAAGAGACATTTCAAAATATTTTGTCTTTAGAAATACCAAGTGATATGGTGTAGTAGAAGATGTTCATGTTCACTTACAATTCTTCACACAAAACAGTAAAAATCTTAAATTTTTACATAATTTTAAATTTTACATAATTTATTGCATCGCATTGCACTCATGATGAAACCACCAAAGTGCTTCTGGATTGAAAAGATTAGCCAGTGACATCACTGCTGCCCAGGGATGCCCAGTTGGGGGCTCCTTTCATGTCGCTGGCAGGAGCTGGAGTGAAGGATGGGAGCTCACCCTGCCCTGTGGCAGCACTTGGGTCTTGAACGTGGGCTTGCTAACCTCCCACCCAGCATCCTAACCACATGAACCACTATTTATGAAGGTCACACACTGTTTTGAACTGTAGAAATTAAAAGTATGGGCACTGCCAGTACTTCTCTGTAAATACTACATTGCAACCATATATAGTATGCGATCACTGCTGAATCCATAGGATGACTGTGGTAGCACCCTGTCACACTTCATCACTATTCAGTACAACACATTTTCCTAGTCAACCTGGTTTTGAATAATAACATTGCTGATTAACCTAAACATTTCCTTGGCCATTACTCTTGTGGAATATGTGAGATACTACCCAAAATGTATGGAATGTAGCAATTTTGAATTGAGGACTTATTAATTTTTCAAGACACACAGGTATCACATATGCACACACCCTGATTACTTCATTACACAGAAAACATAGGACCACTTCTGATAACGGGATTGGAAAGAATTCCAAAAACCAGATTCTATTTTTACTCTACTTTGTTTTTGATAATGCAGAGGAATACAGTGGGAAGAAGGATGAGGGAAAACCTCCTTTGGACAAGAAACTTTCCATACAGCACAAAGTATTATACTTAACAATGATGTATATTGTTATCATTGCTTCTACTGATGAATTCTGAAGTCCAAGATACCCAGAAAGCAATACTGTAGTTTGCTTTCTTCTGCCATTACATGTTCAAAAATTAAAATATTGCATCAACATATTCTCTGTACTTCTCTGCATTTCTCACAATAATCTTTTAGTGTAAAATCTTGAATTGTGTAGTTTTCCTGCCTTCAATAGAAAGATTCCAAAAATTCCTCTAATAGGACCTTACCCTTTGTTTTCTACTTTGATAATAATTGAGTAGTGATGCCCTCATTCATAGACTTTGTATATGCATGTGTAGAAATGCCAACAATGTTAACACTTTTCAACTCACTTGCTTTCTCTTTCAGAGAACAGTGACAATTTAAGCATCTGCTTTAGGAAGTAGTCATATGGGTTTTTTTTAAAGGAACAATAAGGTCCATAAAATACACATATTTTACATCTGCTATTTCTTTTTAAAAAGAGTTAAATTGAAGTACTAAAGTATAACTGAGAGAAATGTCTCCTTTAACTTGTATTACTATTATTACTACTACCATCACCACCACGACTACATTAAAGGAGTTTCATAATTTCAGAACAAGTGGGAATATATTTTTCTCCTTTGATTTTGCTTATTGGTTTATCCCAGTTGCAAAACTTCAATTTGCTATATGCTGGACAGCAGCATGGAGTCTTTAGTTGCATGGGCAATTAATTTCTTTAGTTATCAAAATACTGGTTACATTAAGCCCAAGCAAATGAATGGATGTTTGCTTATGGAAAGTATGGCACTATTTACTTTGAATGAATGTAAATACTATAAGAGGATTATTTTGCTTTTCATGCCTGGCAAACATAAGTGAAGTGAAAACAATAGAAATTTGGGAAGTACAATTGGGTACACTGACCAGATTTAGAGAAAGCATAAAGTAAATGAATAGGTTTGAATTATGAAGGCTTTACACCAGGGGTGTCAAACTCACAATATCACATGATGTGTCATGACGTATCGCGACTTTTTTGCCATTGCCGGCAGTGAGGTGGGC